AGTGGAAGTCACTAATATCTTGATACATTCGGAACGCCCCTGGGGTCTGGTACCATCTAGCATGATTCGGTATTTGAGACCAAGCCAGGAAAGGTACTACACGTAGTCCTTCAAAGGCCCCATTGCTGATATGGTATTGAATATCATGATCAGACTCCTGAGGAGGTTTTGTTTTAAAAGTCTTAGTCATGTTAATGATGTTGATGACCATGATCTCTTGTTGATGTCAGAGTTGAAAGAGATTTTAGAGATTATGTAATCCCCCCCATCTGTGTATTACAAATTCTCACTTGCTTTCTTCTCTCAGGAGAGAAAGGGGCACTTCTGTCATCTTTGCTTGAGAGGGAGAAGTCCAAATTATCTCAGTACTTTCATTGGTGACTCCATGACCCTCTGCTTATTAAAGCCTTTTATCACAAAAGTGGTGGGAGCAGCTAATCCTAGGAGTTTAAATGATGAAAGATCTATAAGGAAATGCAATTAAAACCACAAAGAAATATCACTACACACTCACTAGAATGGCTAAAATAAAAAGACCTACAGTGCCAAGTGTTGGTGAGAATGTGGAACAACCGGAACTCTCACGTGTGGCAGTTGGGAGTGTGATGGTGCAACCACTGGGGAGGACTGGTAAGCAGTTTCTTATAAAGGTGAATATACACTTACTTTATGACCCAGCCATTCCATTCTTAAGTATTTACCTAAGAGAAATAAATACCTATGTGCACAAAAAGGACTTCTATATGAACATTTTATTTATAATAATAGCCAAAAGCTAGAAATAATTCAGTGTCCTTGAATGGATAAACTAATGGTGGAAAATCTATACAATGGAATACTAATCTGCAGTTTAAAAAACTGAACTACTGATTCATGTAACAACGAAGATGAATTTCAGAAGTATTATGCTGAATGAAAGAAGTCAGGCACAGGGTACATACTGTATGGTTCCATTTATTCTGGAGCAAGCAAAATTAATCTATAGGACAGAAAGCAGGCCAGAAGTTATATGAAATGGTGTGAGAAGGAGGGATGGATGCCTACAAAGAGGCATGAGGAACTCTTCGCAGTGATGGGTTGATTGTGGTGATGGTTGCAAGAGTATATATAGTTGTGAAAATGCATCAAACTGTACGCTTAAAAGGGTGCAGTGTATTACATATGAGTTGATTTTAAAAGATGAGGGATCTAGTCTGAGCTCTACCACTAACTAACTAGCTCTATGTGTTCTTGTGAAAGGAGCTTAATTTTTTCTACATCTCTTTCCTATTGGGAAAATGGGGACAATAGGTAGTTCACCTACCCCATTTAGTTATTGTGGAAATATAAATGAAATAATTTATTTTGAAATACCTTTAAGAAAGTGTAAAGTCATATGCAAATGCTGGTTGGGGGTTGGGAGGAATATTTCCGTAAACTCCTCTTAAGGGAAGAAATGCAAGAACTGTGATAATCAATATATGAGCTAGTTACGTATATTTTTGGATTGTATTTGCAAGTCATCTTTTAACTTTGTGTAACACTGGCTGTGTCAGTTTCCCCTCTACCCATCAGTAAAATGATGGGGTAGACTACATCAGAGGTAGAAAACTGTAGGCTCAGAGACTCTTTAAAGCCTTCCAGATGTGTTTTCTTTAACCTCTACAGTGTCAAGCTTCCCAGCATTAATTTAAAATGTGACTAGTTGCCAGTGTTTAAATCTGGAGATTTCACATAAAGTTCTGGGTTTCCAGTTTATCTTTAGAAGTGAGCAGATCTGACAAAGCTGTATCCATATTCCTACATGGCAACAAATACCTGGAGTTGTGTAGTAGCTATTCCTTTACATGGGCCATACCCTTTAGTTTCCCGCAGTCTCTACCACTCTCTGTAGCCTTTACTATTCTCTATAGTAACATTAAGAGGAAAGTTAATTCATTTTTTAGTGCCCTTGATGTGTTAGACACTATTCTAGGAGATGATTATAGAGAGGGGAACTAAACAGACAAAAATCTCTATCATAGTGAGTATTAAGTACCCATCCACATAATCAAAAATTAGGAGAAAGTTAGACCAGGAGTACTTTATGTTTTAGGGGAAGGGGGAGAAAACATGTTTCTTTGTGGAACTAAAAAACTATTCCTACATGTTTAATAGGCACAAGTGTGTATGTGCCACAGTTCTCTTGCCTGTTTTACTTGCTTACCTCATATAATGGATCAGATCCTTTTTCCTTTTGTGATTCAATAAATTCATGGAGATTATTTTAGCATTGCAAAAAATGCTGGTAGGCAGAGAGACTGGCACAGGCTCTACTGAATGTTAGCTTTTCTTACCTCTGTTCAAACCATCCCCACCTCAGCTTTAAATTTTTCAATTTAATCAAGCTGTTGGGCTGCAACTCAATCTGAAATGACCATCTCTGTTGACAGTCTTATAGCTGCCTTCTTCTCTAATGGCCTGAACCCTGATCTGTGGTTGGACGTGTACTGGAGAAGTATCTTGAGTGGTGCTATCTCCCCTCTACCTTCTAGTAATTTACATCTCTATTTGGTCAACTACACAGTTAATTGGCCAACATTTTTATATTGACAGTCCTATAAGGCTTCAATTTTTATTTCATGGTCAGGAAACCCTGATTTAAATGCTTCTCACCTGCAGATATGCCCTTGTATGGGCGTAGATGCTTAATAACATGCTTCTGCCTGTATTAAGTATAGTGGTTCATTGCTCTGCCTTTAGATTTATGATGGTCAGGGGTTTGAGAATCTGGGCTGGCTCTTCTCAACCAGTTGAGCTTGCCTAGATCACGTGATAAGTATCTGACTTATTTCTTCAGTCCTAGCTGGAAAGGTCATCTTGCTACCTGGTAAAGAAAACTACACTACTCCCATCTGGTGGCAGTTATCTCAAACTGCTGCATCATCAACTTGCTTCTGAAAGGACAGCCTTGTCCTTTAGTGGTGCCATGCATCACAGAACTGCAGGAAATTGCCATTCCCAACTTCTGTTCTCCCGACGTTTGTTCTACAGCACTCTCAGCACTGTAAGGGGGGTTGCACAGTTTCCTCTAAGATAAATGAAGTAGAAAGAACATTTTTTGGACAATCAGGAGATTGACACTGTTCTAGGTTCTGCCCAGTACTAACCATGGGACTCCTAAGCCTTACTAGGTTCCTCTACCCCTAAAGCAAAATGCTTGGACTTAATGTTCTCTAGAAGTACTACTGTACAAAGTCAGTAATCCTATGATTTTTTTTTCAAAATTTAAAATATATATAAAATGAAAACCCACTTGGACTGTTCACAAAACAGGTATGAATATTGAAATTTTGTAAGTTATATTATCGTTTTCCCTAGTTCTACTTGATTATAAGAGACAACATGAATTTTAATAGCTTTTTTTGGGGAAAAAAGAAAGACATAGCACTTCATTAAATGTACATATTTATTACAAGAAAATTTCAGATATCCTAAAAATTAAAATATAAAAAAAAATCGAGATTTTGTGTGTGTGTGTGTGTATGATAAGATCTCTCAGTGAGTGTATGCAAGGGTTAAAAAATTTTTTTTAGTAAATAACTCAAAATTCTAGAATTACAATTGACAATTAAGCAGTATAAGTGTACTTTAAAGTATTAGGAGAAAATGTTAAATGTTACTGAGGTACAAAGATTAAAGAGTTCACAGTTGAAATTAAAAATTTATTTGGGTGATCGCTTCATAAATTACATAAATGTCTCATCATGGGTTTACAACTGAACTAATATGATATTGTATGCCAACTGTAATTGGTAAATAAAAAAATATTTAGAAATAAAATTTAAAAAAGATTATATGGTAAATTTTAGTGTTTATCTGAATACTGAAGAAGAACATAGTGACAGGAAATATACAAACATGCAGTCTCCAGTAAATCATTATCAAAATACACATTGGGACATTTGAATCCATTAAAAAATTTTTAACAGTGAATTATGTGTGTATTTTCACATGCAACAGTGCTTTATGATTAAAGCTCTCTTTGGTTATAAGGAACAGAAACTTACTCAAGCTGACTTAAAAAGGAATAATTATTGTAAAGATGCAGCAGGAAATGCCATGAACATCAACAGACAGGTACTGAAGTGCCGCTGGACCTCAGAGGATCTAGTTTGTCAGTCAGGACCCAAGTCCTATCTCAGGCCTGAGACCTCTATAATCACTGATTATTGATCTTGTAATTTTGCATGTGGCTGTTAGCCCCAAATCAATGCCATAACCTCAACCCAAGTTCCCTTAATGATGACTTCTCTCTGCATTCACCTTCATCCAATTAGTGATCACCTCTGTGCAAAATACAAACCATTGATTTTTTTTCTTTTTTTGCTACACAGGCTCAATACACAGGATAGTTCAAGCTAACTTATGAAGGTACACGAGCAGGCAGGTGGATGAAGTGCCCGATATAAGTGCTGCTTATCCCAAAGCCTTCAACTTTGACAGCTTTGCAGCACCTTATCTATCTATAACTTCTATTAACAATTGCACTGAACACCTCATAACTGTTTGGGGAGTGAGGTCAAGGTTAGGAGTTCTAAGGATTTGTGGAACACTAAGGTGTAACAACTTCAAAGTATGTAAGAATGCTTCAGCTAGTAATTATTGCCTTAAAGGGAAAAAACACTAAGCCTCACGGGATTGCACTTAGAATTAAACGAGAGCTCAAAGTGCCTAGGACAGTAGGAATGTAGGTAGTTTTCCTCTTTCATCTGTTTGTTCATGTTTATTTGTAGGTTCTTTTGAAGATAATTACTGTTGTTCCTTTTTCCTGAGATTGTGTTTAGGAACAATTTCTCTGATTTCTGCCACCCTCTTGCCTCTGAGTCCCGAAAACCTACGAATGCCTTCTAAGCTAGGCCAGCCCTAGGGTTAGCCGACAGTGGCATCAGCACCATCAACAGTGACAGGAGCTGCCATAGTCGTCTGATTGACTTTTGGAACATGACTCAGAAGAGCTTGTATGTTTGTTTCTCTCGCAGGTGGATTTGCTATCGTGTTTCTGGTGAGGACAAGCAACGGAGTGAAATGTGCCTTGAAACGCATGTTTGTCAACAATGAATATGACCTCCAGGTGTGCAAGAGAGAAATCCAGATCATGGTAAGGCTGCCCCTCAGAGTTGAGTCTGCTTATTTAAAAGTGGGGGGGACTGTGCCCTCTCACAAGAAAGGCAAGGGGGGTTGTTCCCTTTTGTGAGATGGCAGAGAGGCCTCTGCACAAGACGGGAGTGAACAGCATTGGGTGTAGGATGCTGCTCCTTCCTTGGTCACCCTCAGTTGGAGGGTTGAAGAAAAAGGAGCTTATTGAGAAAACATATATTTTTAGGTCAGAGAAATAGTTTTGGGCATTGGGAAAGTTTATTTCACAACATGGTTCCCAGAATTAACTATGGAGTTCAGTCTAGAAACCCTAGGTTTCCAACAAGCCTCTGTTTCTAGTCTCCTATTAGTCACCAGTCCCAGTTTTCAACCTCTTGAGCTCTGTGGCGTTCCGTGACACATCTTCACACACGCTTTTATTTTGTGTGTGTGGTTGTTTTCACCTGGAATGCTTTCCCCCTTTTTTGGCCTAGAAACATCTTACTCTGTGATTTCATTTATAAAAGTCTAAGAACAGGCAAAAGTGATCCTTGGTAATAGAAATTAGAAAGTGGTTATCTGAGTGTGTAGGACATTGACTAGAAAAGGGCATGTGGGAACTTTCTGGGCCATAGAAATGTATATTTTGTTTTGGGTAGTGGTTACACAGGCCTATACAATTGTCAGAACTCAGTTGAGCACCTTAAGATCTGTGCATTTTATTATATGTTAATTATATCTTACATCTTAACAACTTCAGTTTTCAAGATACAGATTCATAATATGTTGAAAGGAAAAATTCCTATCAGTTAGAGGTATATGACAACATATTTATGGATAAAATAATATGATGTCTTGAAGTTAATGAGTGGATTTAGAAGAGAAACAAGATTGGCAATGAATTGATTATGATCAAGGCAGAGTGATGGGTATATGAAGTTTGTTGGAGTTGTTTCCTACTTCCACCTATGTTTAACATTATACATAAAATATTTAAATAGTCTTTTAATCCATCATATTTCCACAGTACTTTTGTTAATGCCAATTATAGTGTTTATCTTGTTATTTTATAAATAATTCTGCAATCAGAAAGTAAGTTATTTAAAATCAGAAACTTTATATTCCAACACACTACTTGACATAGAGTAAATACTTAAACTTTGGATAAAACGAATGTATGAGTAATTGTAATAGCAGATGCATATGTTCGTCAAGAGATGATGATTCATTTGTACTCTGGATTTTCATGCTTTTGTAAAGAGGTCCAAAAAATGGTTGAGGGTGGCATTGTAGGGATTGCACCAGGCTTTGCTTGCCCCTGCCTACCCCTTGTGGGGGTTCCCCTTTCTGTGGCTACTTAGAGTAACTTGTTGTATTGTAGCTGAGCTATTAAAAGAACTCAGAATTTTAGAGAGCCTGGTACTACTTTGGATTCCAGAAAGCTGAAACTGTTTGGGGGGAACTGTTGATGGAAGTAAGTGTTGCTGTCATCATTGCAAAACAAACAGAAAACCCTAAGGTTTGCATACATACTGTCAGGGCCATGTGGGTCTGTCCAAAAGGCACCAATGCCCTTCCTCTTCCCTGCCACACAGCTCAAAATGACTATGCTCGTTGGATTTCCCTTTATCCACCAATGGATTTTCCGGATGCTTCTTATTACTCCTCCTCGCCCCTTGCCCCTTCCTTGCTCTGCCCTAACACTTCATTTTCTGTCTTTGCTTCTGCTATTTCTGCTCTCTGCCTGGAATGCCCTTCTCATTCATTTTCTGGTGTTTGAAAAGTAATTCCATTCTTGAACTTTCTCCCACTCATTCATAAACAGGCTTGAGGGCTTATTTTGTGCTAGGCAAGCGTCGGAGTAGAGGAACTAAGAAGACACAGGCCCCTCTGGAGCTCACATATTAATGGACCTGATTAGGAATTAAATTATGTGGGGTCAGGTTCTAGTCCAGCCATGTATTAGCTGTGAGAGTTTTGTTCTTGATTTTGTTTATATTTTTAAAAAACTTAAGTACTCAAGTAGGCGAACTAAACTTGTTACAAAAAACGTCAAATAATTCCCCAAGTGATTCTCCTATGCCATTTCAAGGTCCCAAGGCAACCACTTTTGATTCGTTTGATATATTTCTAACTAACATGGTGATATTGCTAATTCTTGATTCTCCCCTCCCCCATTTTGGGCATTAGATACTATGGAAAGTAAAAATTTAGCTTTTTCATCCCCTGCATGTCATTTTCTCCAAATACTTGCATATTCTCATCTTTTATTCTTCCAAAATAGCAGGAAATTTTGGCAGTGTATTAGTTATATTAGTATTAGTCTTTACATTATTATGTAAGAAAATATTATTTCTGCTGAATCTCCTAGTGGACTATAATTAATATTTCAGAATTCTTCCAAAAAAGAGATTTTTATTTATTTGTTTGTTTGTTTGTTTGTTTGTTTATTTATATCACTATGGACTCATGCATGTTTATTTTGTTTTTTTTTAATCGATTTGCTGTCTTTTGGTTCTATTGGATAAGAGTAATATTTCAGTTCTCTGTTTCTTTTCTCTGACCCTTCCATGCTGTTGTTGAGCCTGTCCACCATGTTTTTTGCTTTAGTTATTGTATTTTTCAGTTCTGAAATTTCCATTTGGTTCTTCTTTAGGTTTTTAGTATGAGTCAGACCAGGCCTGGAGTATTTCATTCATTTCCTAGGGCCATTCTTTTTTTTTCTTTTTTTTGCCTTTTAAAAAAAATTTATTGTTGAAAGTATGACAGATGTCTCCTTTTTCCTAGGGCCATTCTTATAAAAAGGATATAGACAAAGCAAAGTGTTTAAACATGGGAGCAGCCAAAATGGTGATGTGACTACAGTCATGTCAAACAAAGTGGGGATGTTTAACAGAGGGAAGAATAAAACTTAGAGTCTAGGTAACAATATTTCAATTGTTTAGAAAGTGAAAAAATAATCAACTTGTTCTTTTTGCTCTGAGGAGGTGTCAGGAAGTAGGTGTTTCTAGCTAGATGTAGGGACTGGTCAACAGTGAGGGGTGTCTGCAGATTGGCTGATATCCCAAGGAAATAACATTATTCTAAGAAAACTGCTTGTCAACAGGCTATAGCAGGGATTCAGATATGCCTGGTTGGTCTAGATCAGCTTTACTCAAAGGATCTTGTTTTGTTTTTTCTTTCATTCCTTGTGTGTTTGTTTTATTTTATTCCAACACCCCTCCTCCAGTTTATCATACTACTTTTCTTTGTAAATTGAGATAAAATTCACCCTTTTAAATATGATTGAGTTTTAGTATATTTATAAGATCATTCACCTATCACCATTTATCTAATTCCAGAACATTTTTCATCACTCCAAAAGGAAACCCCTTACCCATTAGCAGTAACTTTCCTAACAACCATTAATCTTTCTGTTGCCTATTCTGGACATTTCTTATAAATGGGCTCATACAATATATGGTGGCCTCTTGTGTCTGAGATCTTTCAGTTATCATGTGTTAAATATTTGTCCATGTTGTAGCATGCCTAAGTACTTTATTAATTTTCATGGCTGCATAGTATTCCTTTGAATGGATATACTAAATTTTTGCTTATCTTTATGGACATTTGTGTACAAGTTTTTGTGGACATAATGTTTCATTTTTCTTGGATATATACATAGGTTTAAATTGCTGGGTCATGTGGCACTCTACTTTTTGTGAAAATGCCAAACCGTTTTCCATAGGAGCTGTACAATTTTACATTGCTACCGGCATATGTGAAGGTTCCAATTTTCGTATCCTTGTTGATATTTTTTATTGTTTCTGGTTTTGATTATAGCCATTCTAGTGGTTCTGAAGTCATATCTCATTATGGTTTTGATTTGTGTTTTCCTAATGATTAATGGTGTTATACATTCAACATTATGAAGATTTGCATTTATGTTTTCTTTGAGGAGTTTTTAGATCTTTGTTCCACTTTGAGTTAATTTTTGTATATGTTGTGAGGTAGGGGTCCAACTCCATTCCTTTCATGCTGATATCCAGCTGTCTCAGCGCCATTTTTTGAAAAGATTATTCTTTCCCCCCATTCTGTTGTTTGGCACCCTTATAAAAAATTAGTTGTCTATATAAAATGTATGGGTACTGCTACTCAAAGGACTTTGTGCCAGAATGAAAATCAATGAACTGTTTTTCTCATAGGTTAAAGTCTCACTAGGAAAAGAAAAAAGTTAGCTTGGTGACTTGATTGATTTATGTCCTGGAACAAGATTTATGTCCTTACAGTCTGGTAATAGTTTACTAACCAGCAGATGTTTGTGGACCACATTTTGAACAGCACTGCTCTGAATCTTGGCTATGTTAAGTGCCACTGACAAGGAGCATCCCAGGCCCTATCCCAAAACCACTGGATTAGAATCTGTTTTTAAACAGAATTCTCAGCTGATTCATATGCATATTAAAGTTTTACCACACTACTTAGAATCAGACTCTAAAGGACTTTAAAGATCTATTTAGAAAGTACAGGATTAATTAATGAATAAGACTTGGGAAAGGGAGTGTACATTTGAGTATAGACAGGAGAATATCTAGGACTTCTTATGTAGCAAAACCCACAAGGGCCCCATACCTTGGCCTTCAGTAGAACTCCAGGACCACCCCAGATATCAGAGTTGTTTTTTTTACTACTACTCTGGACTTGATAGTTTTTGTTTGCCTGTGAATAACTCCCTGAAGAGAGTTATAAAGGAAATTTAGAATTATAGAGAAAAAAGGGGGAAGGAAGAGTAGGGCAGAAGACTCTTTAACAAAGCAACTTTGAGAGAGAGAAACTAATTTCTGGCCTTAGAACTGCTTTTCTTCATGTTTTAAATTAAGAAAAAGCTGAAATTTGGTTAAGAGGGCCTGTGCAACCATGATGTGATTCTAGAAGTAGGCAGCAGTAATGGTGACTCATAAAATCAGAAAAAGTTGAATATTTGAATGGAGGACCAAAGGGGTTAATATACCTCTTTGGAAACTTACTATATACAAATGCAAGCACTATGAGAATCAGGAATTTGCAGGTATCATGCTGACATTGCAAGGAAAGGTGGCTTAAGCAAATGATATATAGGGGAATTAGTTATATGCAATACTCATTTTTACTATTTTGAGGTGAGTGATATTATTGATATGGTATTTAGAATGCTATTTTCTTTGTTTGCTTGAACATCAAGGTTTTTAGAGATGAATTTAGGAATTGAATCCTTTGTTTTCTTATAAGGCCTTAAGGTTCTTAAGTAGGAATTCTGCTACAGAATTGTGAAGCTAGGGACAGAACACTGTTCTGTGCTATAAGCATCATTAATTAGGATCCCAGATAAACTTGAAATCTGTAATAATCTATAGGATCTAGGTTGAAGGGCTGAATTTCAAATGCTAGCTTTTGTGTGTTTATGAAAAAGTTTTTCAGCACTTCAAGCTGTTAAATATGAAAGTTAATGAGCTAACTATAAGCCACTTTAGATATATATTTAATAAAGTAGGTTTTCTAATGACATATTTGTCAGTGCTTTATTACTCTTATTTAATGTTAATTTAAAAATAAAGTTTGAAATGACAACACAATCTCTTTAGACTTATCACCATTTAAATCATGTAATATAAACTGATCTATAGTTAACTGAATATTCCCCACTCCCCTAAAACTCAGGTTTTGACTTACCTTCACCATATAGACTTTTATTTCAATACTCCAAATGCTAGTTGTAGCCAAAGGCATCAACAAATCTTCCCCACATCCTGCTTTTTCCTGTGTAAACAGGTGGTAACTGAGATTGCCCGCCTCACCAAATGTGGATTCCATCCCATAACTCTACATCCAATCTGTCCTGTAAGCCTGGGGCTGGTCTTTTAACTAAAGGCAGGGAAAGCTGGGACATCTTCTGGCCTGTGGCTGCTGGGAACTGATGCCACTGTACTGTAAATGCAAGTCAGTCTCAATTTGCAGTAAGATTTTTCTCTTGACCTTTTCTACATTTCACAACTATTCAGACAAGTCTTCATCACTCATAAACCAGTGATGTTTTACTCTAAAATCTGAGATGTTGCTGCATCATCAAGTCATTAAGAGTCATGGTTTCCCTCCAACGAGGTGGTCTTTTCTGGTGGATATATCTCAGAATCTCTGCAGAAGACAAAATGAACAGGAATTGGGGCTTGAACTTATCAGCAAACATCTTGGCAAGCTGTTCTAGGATGCCGTCTGCAGATGTTAATTATCTAGTTTGGGTCCTGCAGTAGCTCTTAACCTCCTCTTGGCTCTACCACATGCTTTTAATCTTCCTTGTAGATTCTTTATTATTCCTCTTGGGGTGATACAAAGTCACAGGCAACATTGCTGATTCTTTTTCAAACAGTTAAATGTAGAAATATTAAGTCTTTCATTCTTTCTTGTGGACATTTGGAGGACATGATTTTCTGCCCAGTTTTTTCTATTTCCAGGACTGCATAAATGGAAGCAAGTTCTACAAGAGTTGATAATACTGAAAAGCAGAGGGAATTATGGTCCTGTGAAACAGGAGTCCTGAAATCACTTTCTGTTTGGAGAAACTTGAACTCTAGAGACTGTTTTTCTGCCTCATTATCTCCCTTGTTGGTTATATCCAAAGTAGTTGTTCTAAGACTTTTCTCTCATCAAGCTTCTTTCTCATTCCCTCACACTTGAAGATAATTTTGCTTTCTACTGAAAACAGTAGATATGAGCTCACTCAAATTTTCTTTTTCCCCAGCCTTCAACCAATATTCATATCCATTCTTATTTCCTTCCCACTTGCCAGGAAAGAAATGTCTTCCTAAGACAGTCCCTGTAACAGTGCTCTGAATCCCCACCTCTTCTACCTTTGGGACTTTGTTCCATCAATTATTGCAGCCTTAGAGCTTTCTTTCCCTGGCTCCTTCCACTCTTCATTGTTCAGTTCTCTTCCTCCCTAAAAATTCTTTTCCTCAATACTGCTTCTCTCTTCAGCACAAAATGTTCTGAAAGAGTAATCTATAATTGCTGGCTCTACATATTCAATTCCCATTCTTTGCAAGTCCCATTTCATTCTCACCTCCATTTCATCCCCTCCCTGAAACTGTTCTTGCATGGATCTCCAGCAACTTCCCTATTGCCGATTGCAGTGGTCACATTTCTACCTTTGATCTACCTTCTGAGGCAATAGAAGGTAGATCACTCAGAGGCAATCTTTCACTCAGAGGAAAGTTCTAATGAGTTTTAACTTTGATACTCAGGGTTTAGTTGTGTTCATTTGATATTGTGAGGCTGCTTCTTATTAGGGTATGTGGTTCCAGATTGAAAGAGACTTTATTACTTTAAACAGTGGAATCTCCAGTTAGTGTGATGATAGTTACTATTCTGTGGTCCAAACTACCAAATTTGTATGGTGATTCTTACAGAATCACGTATTTTCCACATCCTCCCTTTCACTTTTTATTAAACCAAAGTAAACTAATTTATTAAAATTAGTTAATAATGTATCTGTGCAAAAATCCTATCACCCAGCTGGCTCACTTTTTGCTCATTAATGACCTTGGATTGTGAACATCATCGTTACACAGATTTATTTGCCTTTATGGATATTAAAATAACCGTACCAGGGTGAGAGGCACCTTTTAGTGCCTCACTGGGTCCTGACACAAAATTAATTCCACAAGCAGCCCTGGGAGGTCATATGCAGTTCCAGCCAGAGAGGTGGAAACATGACCCATCTTATTTATATCCCAGCTGGTTGGCTTGAAAGGCTTAATTACAAGCAAAATGCTTAGGTCTGGATGCCACTCTAGTCTCTGCAGAACTTTGTAAAACAGTTGTTCTTATACAGTTTCTAAAGGGAGAAAAACAGTATGACCAGTTTAAAAGTCAAGGTGAATTCACTTGTGTCCCTACAATGAGGGAAAAAAACACCAGTTTTACTTTTCTGAATTAAAAATTCACATGTTTAAATAGTTCATACCGTTTCTCTCCTCTTAGCCCCTCTGCAGTGTTTCTGGAGATGTGAGTCTTTGCTTCTGGTTTCTATGGATCACTAATGCAGTGAGCAAGTAGTCACCCTGTGTCCATTTGGTTCTAGAATTTAGTTCAGGAGAATGCTATGGTTTAGCAGGCTTTTAGAATTGCTGTTCAAGATCTGGCCATGAATCTCAGAGACCACTGGGAATCTTGACCCTGCTCCCTAGTCTCTGTGTATTTAAATGATCTGGGCTAAGAGAACTGATTGGCTCATTGCGTCTCTGTCGGTGTCTGTAACTGATAATATTTCAACTTTTCTTTACAGAGGGACTTGTCAGGACACAAGAACATTGTGGGTTACATTGATTCTAGTATCAACAATGTGAGTAGTGGTGATGTATGGGAAGTGCTCATTCTGATGGACTTCTGTAGGGGTGAGTATACGAACCATACCTTAAGCTTTCATTTCACTAGCACTTGTATTGTCAGGTGATTGCTTCAGTAATTACACTGTACCCTAATGTATATGTTGTTCTGGTTTTAAAGATTGGAAAACTCAGAGGTTAAAAGATACAGAGTCTGCTGTCGCCTCTTGGTTATTCTGATAATGGCAAGGGTCAGTGGTACAAACAGTTCAAAGCGGTGGATAATACAAAACTCCATTTTTTTAGGTTTAGGAAGGTTTGGTGCTTGTATATGAATGAGAATGTATCAGAATGAGAATGAATGTGTTCTTTGTGATGCTTTAAAACAAATGATGAAGGCACATAATAAAGGCCCAACTCCAGATGGACTAAAGAAACAATTCAGCTTCCTCACTCCCTCATTCATGTGTTCTGTTCTCCACTCACACCACCATCCTTGTTATGGGGTAAAAGAATCCTTTTTGTGTAATGCAAATGACCTTCCTCCCCTTGCTCCAGAGCTATAATTGCCAGGAATGTTACATTTTAACTATGCTGGAGTTAAGTAGTAGAAAGCATGGAGTTTCAAGCAATATTTATATTGGGAATTCCAGACTGTAGCATGAATTTATTCAGAGTCAACTGCATTTCCTACAACCATTGTTTGGAAGTTTGACTTTTTTTGGCCTAAGCAGCTGCCACTTACAAGCTTGGGTCACTGTCTCACTCTTTTGTAATCACCCTTACTTCCACTAACATTTTCCTTGCCTTAAGATACTGTCCATAAACTAAATATGTTGCTAATCCCAAAAATGTGATGTTAACCATTAATTTCAGCCTTTACTATGATACCTGTTCACCTGATTTTTAAAATACTACCAAATTTGAACTTGATAGTTTGTTTCCTCCTGCCCGTTCCTTTTTGAACAGTAAAATGTTTAGAGATGAGGCAGTAGGAGCGCCCAGGGATCCGGCTAATTTTATAAATGAAGCCATTAGGGTTTTGGTCCTGGAGAATAAATGTTGGTGTAGCATTTCTATAGACCAGGCAGCAAGTAGTGAAGCCAGGGAGACCAGGCTGTTCCGAAGTACAGACTATAAAGCTGTCTTCTTCCTTCTCCTGAGGGCCGTTGTGCAATTGGATTCTTACTAAAAAATATGGCAAGTTGAACCTATGGCCTTGTCTCGTACACAGCAGGGACAGTATAACTAGGCAACTAGAGCAGGACCATATTGCCAGTTCTACTACTAATCGTGAAGACATAATGAGGGCAGCTCATGTCTGGGGTGCTTTATAAAATAAGAAAACTTTTTGATACATTACAGAAAGCACTAGATTCTACAAAAACAAATCCTATGCTGGGAATCAAGACAGCTGGGTTTTAGTCCCAGCTCAACAAGTGATCAGCTCTGTTACCTTTGCATCCAGACTGCTGCTTTGTGGAGAGCTATTCATTCTCTTAGGTAAGTGACGAGTCTGAATGTTTATAATCTTTCCTTTGCTCTGCACCCATCTTAGGAGGCCAGGTGGTCAACCTGATGAACCAGCGCCTGCAAACAGGTTTTACAGAGAACGAAGTGCTTCAGATATTTTGTGACACCTGTGAAGCTGTTGCCCGACTCCATCAGTGCAAAACTCCTATTATTCACCGTGACCTGAAGGTAACAGGTCGCACTCTTTCTTTCTTTGTTCGTACAGAGTATTTTCTGTCTGCCCCAAGGATGCGGTACATACTAGGGGGATGTGAGAGAAGTTTAAGACATGGTCCCAAATTCTGAGCTTGCGTTCTGTTTGGGGAGAGAAAATGCAAAAGAAGAAAAGATGTAACTGTACACTATCAGTTCTATTACTTAAGTAGTTTTCAGAAATTCTTCATAATCATCAAATGCTTGGACACATACTGTTTTTGTTTTCCCCGATACACTCCCAAATTCACTTTTCCAGGGTCATGAAAAGTAATATCTAATTTAAATAGTTATAAACAATGATACTTGGTCTTTAAAGTCTATTTCCTATTTTGCAAAAATCTATTGATTGATTACTTTTAAAATTTGTCCTACTAATTACCATCCCCTTGCACCAGGCCTTTCATATTGTAGTCGCTTGACAATGTTTGTTGAATGGAATTGGCACCCGGTTAGGATTCACTAGCATTTATGGAGCATCAGCTGTGTGCCATGTACTCTACTTGACACTTTATGTACACTGTCTGTTTGGAGACATTCTCTTTTACTCTTTATTGTTGAGGAAACTTAGGAGCAGAGAGGTTATGTGACTTGCCTAAGGCCATATAACTAGGAAGGAATAGTATCAGAATTTGAATTCAACTCTTTTGATTCTAAATTGCAGTTTCTTTTTATTATACCTGTGTTTTGAGAAATGTGCTTCAGGGCTAATAACTTACATCAGCATCCCCTAGTGTGCTTGTTAAATGCAGGTTGCTGGGTTCCACATGAATCTATTGGGCAGTAATTTTGGTGGTAGTTTCAGGGAGGCCCAGGAATTCATATCTAATTAAGCACCTCAAGTGGTTATTGTATATTCTAAAGTATATTCTTTTGTATATTCAGCAGTATACCGGCATTTCTGTTTGGGCTTTTTTATTTAAGCTTTTTAAAAAATTGACACATAGTTCACATACCATAAAATCCACTCTTTTAAAGTGTACAATTCAATGGCTTTTAGTATATTTACAAGGCTGTGCAACCATCCCTCTGTCTAATTTCAGAACATTCCATTACCCCAAAAAGAAATCCTGTATCCATTAGCAATCATTCTTCATTCCCCAGTGCTCTAGCCCTGGGCAACCACTAATCTACTTTCTATTGCCTGTTCTGGACATTTCATGTAAATGGGCTCATACAATATATGACCTCTTGTATCTGACTTCTTTTACCTAGAATAATGTTTTCAAGGTTCATCTGTGTTGTAGCATGTATTCGTACTTCTTTCCTTTTCATGGCAGAATATTCCATTGTGTGGCGATATCACATTTTACTTACCCATTCATTAGTTGACAGACAGTTGAATTGTTTCTACTTTGGCTACTATGAATAAAGCTGTGATGAATAATACCATGTACTAGTGTTTATGTAGGCGTATGTTTTTAGTTCTGTTGTGTGTATACCTAGGTGTGGAATTGCCGAGTCATACGGTAACTATGCTTAACTTTTTGACTAATTGCCAAACTGTTTTCTAAAGTGGCTGCACCATTTTACATCTTCTCACAATATACGAGGGCTCCAAATCCTCCACATCCCCACCAATATTTGTTACTGTCCTTTTTTATTTTAGCCATTTGTGGTGGGTGTGAAGTGGTCCATACATACTAGCATTTCTGTACTAAAGCAATTAGCTTTCAAGAATACAGGTATATACCTCCAAATTCTCCAGTGTACCTCTGCCTGCAGTCAGTCCTTTTTCTGAGTAGAAAACGGAGGTTACATCTCAGTAAATATTATGAGCATAACATAGTATGAGTACATAATTCTGTACAAATATAATATGGCTCCTGCTCTCAAGAAGTTTAAAGTATTGGTGAGAGGACATAATTTAAATATTTAGACTTGAAATAGATATAGGTGAAATACAAAACTTCATAGAACAAAGTGATGAATAGATGAAAATCAGGTGGTTCAACATATGATCAGATAGTGAGATCAAGGAAGTAGTGCTTGGAATCTTCTAGAAAAGTAGGATTTTGAAGTACTAGTGGGAAATGGGTGGTCACAGAGAGCATGAAGGACATTTCAGGCAGAGAACGGAACCTGAGAGCTGCCTAGAAAAGGGAACCGCAAGGCATTTGAGGATGGAGAGTTAGTTAAGGGCCCAGTACATAGCAGGTTGCAGACCAGGCTAGAGGCCACTGCTCTGAGTATATATTGACATTTTACTCAATTGTTGCCTTTAATGATGAGTGAAATCCTTAGACCCATTGGCATATCTTTCAAAATAGCAGTGGTACCAACATTTTAGGAGCTGACCTCTGTCCCTGTTGCCTGCCTTGGAGAAGAGTTTATGAGGGGCAAAAAAATGGGGGAGAAGCGTAGCTGGACAACACCAGTGCTGGCTTGTGAGTGTGGGAACTTTTCTGTGGCCTCTATGCGCTCCGGCCTCTCTGGAGCCCCATTCTCTCCTCATGTCAGATGGAGTTCAATGTCATATTGGAACTTGGATTCTGTAGCACTCACAGTGTGACTTGTACCCATGGAATTGTAAGTGCTGTGAGAGATGAACATGTCAGCGTCCTTCATCTTGCCCGATGCAGGTGGCCAGTAGTGGTTCAGGGGGCTTCGTTTCCCCTTCTCCTCTACCTTGGAACAGGGAATGTAAATAGGGGCCCCTAGGAGGAGGTCTCCGTTGTGATTGATTGTGATTGTGATTGATTGTGATTGTGATTGTGATTGTGATTGTTCTAGAGGAATCCTGTTGCTGTTGCTTTTAGTCGTTGACTCCTGGTTGTTCTGATTGAAGCTTTTCACAACTCCCCAAATCTTACTGTTGGTGCCATCTAAATGCTTTTTCATTAGCATGTTAGATTTTGTTGATTCCTACTAGTATGTGCACAGTGGGCAGTCACATTTGCCAGCCACGCTGCCAACTTCCTGATGCATGAGTGGTGTCCCCGTATACCTCTTGTTGGCCTTGGCTGTGTCTTGTTTGCCCTGGCTGTGTCATTTATCACATTGCCTGGGCCACTCTGAGCTCATCACTGCTAGAACCAGCCACTGCGGTCCTAGTAGTAGCCAGAGCCATGAAGTTCATTATTCTCCTGCTGCCCAGAGAAGGCGCTGGTCTTCTGAGTCTTCTGATTGCTTCTCTGCAAGCAGGAGTTCCATTTGGTGAGGAGGTACCACTGTGAATAAAAGTGGGACACCGGAAAGAGCACAGGCCAGGCCAGCTGTGGACCCCCCTGTTGAGTCAGTGCCCCCCTGAGTGGGCACTGCTTGTTCACCTGCAGAACCAAGAAAAACCCCTCTTGTTCTGCCGGGTCTTTCTTCCAAATTACATAAAGGAAATGCACTGAATGGTCCTGGTCCTTAAGTAGCTTTTGTTCTAAAAATAACCATAACAGAAGTTCTGTTCTTTATTGAAGATCCTTCCTCAAATACATTATTTTAACATATTAATTATATCCCCCATTTTAAAGTTTTTATTTCTCTGAGGAAAAATAAAGATTATTACAGATAAGGGGGTCATAGACCTGGGAAGGACACCTAGACCAGCCCTTTCCTTTGCCCAATCAGGTGACCTCTGTCCAGAAAGACTGTGACCTGTACAGCTAATTCAGTGATCAAACCAGAACAGAGGCTGAGGTTTTTTTACTCCCATTTTGGTTTGTGTGTGTTTGCTTTTGCTGTATTGTACCATGCTGTTTTCCCCGGCACTTAAGGATTAAGACTTAAGTGCATTCAGATTGAAAAAGTCACGAATGTCTTATCAGAAAAGAGATTTAGATCTCATGAAGTACAATAGGCTGAAGATTTTTGTCCTATTTCTAGAATCACAGGTTTGAAAACCCACATTAATCTAATCCTCCAGAATTTCTAGTGGTAATAAATCCTGTGACTGAAATGTCTGAAGGCCTTATCTGTTTGAAATAATGTCAAGATGAAGAGGTCAGTAGGAGGTGGCTTTCAAGACCTTTTAGCTCAAGTTATAAGCAGAGTTTGAGAGTGACAACTTTAATAACACTCTTAAGCCAATGGGTTGGGAAGTAAGGTCAGCAGTAGTCATCTCTCAGAGCTGAAGGACTTGAGGATTGTAAGCAATGGTAACCAACGTTAGGCTTACAGCCTAAAAGGGGCATTGCCAAAAACAAAGTCACTACACAAATCCTCCGAAGTTTTCAGAAGATGGTGTCAATATCCAGTCGGTTCTCTTCCTTCCTAACTCATTTAATCTGCCCTGGCCCTAGTGTAGACCTGGCTCTGTTCACCTCACACCTGGACAATTGCGCCTGCCCTCGCTGTCTCCTTTCTTTTTCCCCCCTCATCTGTCACCATGCTAACCTTCCTAAAACACTTTTCATCTGCTGCTGACTGCTAAAAATGTTGAGTGGCTCCCCAGTGTCCTTCTTCAGTTTGCCCTCTGTCTGCTTCTCTGGTCTTCTCTCCTTCTGCTCCCATCTCTTTCTCCAGTCTGAACTGCCCGAGTTCCTTAATTGCATAATGCACACCAGTGCAGTGGGTGATGGTGTAATCCCAGCAGTCAGGCAGCCTGAGCCCACATCCTGCTCTTCCAGTCTTGTGACCTCAGGTATGTTAGAAATGGACTCTGTTTTCTCATCTGTTAAGTGACTTTGTAAGAATTTCGTGAAATATATTATAAGTGAAAGTGCACGGGGCAGTGTCTAGTACATAGTAAGTGCTATTAGTTGTTGATACCATTTTGTTATCTCTCCTGCCTCTGTGCCTTTGTTCCTGTTACTAGTTTCACTATCTAAGGCCTTCACTCCTCCAGGGCCCAGCCTTATCTCATCTCCCCACTATAGGAGCGTTGGCCCATAATGTGTCCAGTCCCATGTTTCCAGTTTTCTTTGCACTGCCAATGACCAGCACAGTGCTGTTCTAGCCTCTGTGGTCTCCTCTGTGCCTCAGGCACCTCAAGCCTGCTCCCCTCTCAGGACCTTCATGCTGGCTGCTCTCTGCTTGGAGTGCGCCTCCCTCGGGTGGCCCACGGCCGCTCCCTTCTTCATTTTCGTCTCTGCTTCCCTCATCAGAGTGACCTTCCCTGACTGCTAGTTACAGTAGCATCCCTCTTCACCTGATGTATAATACTGAACCTGCTGGGGGTTTTCCTGACATTTGTCACCACCATGCACTTATTTCCTTATTGTCCTCAGTTGGACACTAAGCTCCACGAGAGGATGTACTTTGGTTTTCCCAGCCTTATTCCCACAACCTAGAAAAGTCCTCGGCACGTAGTACGAGTTCAAATATGTTTCTCTAATAGATGAATGGCAATAACAAGGTGCATTTATGTAGGGAGACTGAGAGTTTGCCTTCATGTACATTCTCTTACGTGCTTCGTAACAACAGTGATGAAATATCAGCTTTCCTTTGCAGATGAGAAACAAGCCCAAAGAGCCTTAAAGATTTGTCCAAGGTCAGACATCTAAAATAGCCCCCGAGGTCTGCTCAACCCCATGTCCAGGGTGATGCCACACACTGTGCTCTGTGTTAAGCATTTGGGTGCTGATGGCGGTGCTGATGATGGAGAGTAGCAGGCGGCCTGAGCTTGGAGGTTGTCACAGGTGTGACAAGGCACGGGGACAGACCGCTGCCCAATGAGTTCACCTTCCTAATCTCATTTGATTCTCCTTGCAAAGTAGCAGAGCAGGGATTATTGTTTTTGCCTGCATTGATATTTCTGTGGTATTGATAAGCTTTCTCTGCATTGATATTTCTGGCTCTCTTGTCTACTTCTGTACACATCCTTATTATTTAACTGGTTTCCCTAAAATATAGTTTTATACAATGTTATCTGTGCAAGGGAGGGAGGCAAGCTGAGGTGAGCCAGATTGGATATAGTGTAACTCCTGAGTGCTGCCACTTTGCAGCTAACTAGATATATCAACCTAGTTTTTAAGGGGGCCGGGGGAACACCCCAATGTGCCTTTATTTTGTCCTTTGTCTACTTAGTTCTCCCCCCACCCAGCAGTGATTTTGATCCTTCGAACTACCTTGTTTGCATTTTGATGTGAATTAACTTTTCAGTTTTCTAAATTATACATTCCAGCATTAGAAGTATGGAAACTGATTTGGGAAGGGACTGCACAATCTAGTAGGAGAGGTATGGTTTCACATGAGCCCTGTAAAATACATGAGGCCAGGAAAGAAGATCTTTTACAGAATGATGCTGTATAAGGGATCTCTAGGTACCTATGTGTAAAAAATACTAGACCAGATATAATTATAGACCAGTGGTTGGCAAACTTTTCTGCAAGGGCCAGATAGTAAAATTTTAGGCTTGTCAGCCAAACAGTCTCTATTTCAACTGCTCAGCTCTGTTACTGGAGCTTGAGAGAGCAGCCATAGACTAGAGGATGGGAAACAGGTTGGCTTGGCATAAAGGTCTTACTTTGTTGACCCCTCCTAGTGACAGTAAGTTCTGTAGATTTTGTAGGGTAGCCTGGAAGGTTTTACTGAGGAATTAGGACTTGAGCAAAGATCTGAAGAATGGCTGGGATTTGACTGGTGGAGAGGGAGCAATTGAATAAAAGGACAAACTAGGCAATAATGGCATGCTTAAGAGACATTGAGCAAATCATCCTGACCAGAATTTGTATACTTGGTTCTCATTGACTAGATTCCTGTTATAGGGGCATTTCTCAACCTAAAGAACTAAGATAGCCCTGTTCTTTAGCGGGTATTCAGTACATCGGGTGAGTGTAGTCATCTCCCCTACCACGGTTGGAGGGTGGAGCGGGATCCTTGAGTAATTGCTGTGCTTCTAACATGCTTTCTGCCTATCCCTTGGAGATTTAGATTGCCTAGTTTCACCTCCTGGCTTTATCACTGTGAGTCTCACTTTCCCATCTGTAAATGGGGATATTACTATATTGTTATTGTGAGGATTGAGCAAGATAATCTATGTAAAATGCTGAGTACAGTGGTACTCATAATAGTAAAGGTCAGTAAATGGTAGCTGTTGTTTTTATAATCTCTAAATTAGATTGGAAATATTAGTGTTGCTTTGTTGGAATTATTTTAGATTCTTAAAGTGTGTATATGTTCAGGACGGTTTGACTGTTACATTTTGTATAACTAGATTAAACTGATGAGCTTTATAAAAAAGCTATAGATGGTGGAAATATTTGCCTATCTAGCCTTGTCTGTGGGGAACTAGTCTCCCCTAAGAATTCTTAATCACAAGAGCAGAGCATATCCACTCAAGTTGATGGCCATAGTTCACATTGCCTGTGTGGCTAAAAATCTCAAAGTCAAAGTTCTAGATTAAAGTGATTATAGGTTATTAGTGCCCCACATGCACAAGTTATCCTTTATGGAAGAATAATAGACTTTATACTCAGGCCTCAAAGGCTTTCCACAGATGAATTCAGGGAGGATGAGTCAACAAACAACAATGACAAGACCCTGTACAACATCACCATGAGTGAGACTCAGTAGGAATAAGAAACAATAGACTATATATAAATCAGTTTGCAGCAAAAACTTTAGGTATTGGATTTGCAGATACAGACTATAAAATAAACATTTTTATAATATATAATTTTTATAAGAATTAAAGTGTAGAAACAAGAGACTGTCATAACTGACCAAATATTTTTAAAATAACTGGTAGTAATAGTAGGGATTGGACATTTGGTGGCTCCTGTCTTGCTTCTGACAGACACACACACACAGACACAGTATTGTGTGTGTTTCTGTTTTTTAGTTAATTCTATTCAGCCAAGATTTTCTGTACCAAGCCCTATGTTAGGCACTGGTAGAAAAGATTACAGATACCTATGTTTGTCTTTAAGGAGCTTATAGTCTACTCTTGCCTTTGTTTTCCAAAGGTAATCAGTCTTCAAAAGGCTGAAGACAAAAGACAATGGAGACTACAGACTTACTGGTTTAACAAGATTTTTTTGGCTGCCATTTTACTGCCCACACATAGCCAGATCTGTCCTCTAGCATACTAGTCAACTAAATTTGTTACTGGTATTGGGGTTCTTGGGCTCCTCAAGATAGAAATTGAGAGGGAGCCCCAGAACAATTTCTAGTCAGATTTTATTCAGTTTATGCTCAAGCCCAAGGGAGATAGTCCCAAGAGAAACACTGTTTCAGGCTGCTCCTCCAGCAGCTTGAGGGAGAGGCTTTAATTGGCGAGAGGGAATGGCTCATGTAAACCTTGAGCAGAGAGTGGAATTTTCTACGTGAGGATTGGAAAAACAAGGGGTTAGAAGAAAGATAAAATTCTGCAGTTTTTTTCAAGCAGGGAGTGGAGGGGTTGTTGACATTCTTTTCTGGGGCCAGGTGACATTCTTGTGGTGGGCTTATCTGGCTATCTGACATCCTTGGGATCCTGTTGAGGGGCAGCAGGGTGGCTCCAGCTCTGCTGTTTTTCTTCTTCTGGCCATCTGGTGTTCTTGGGATCCTGGCTCAGGTCCCTATGCTCTCTCAAATTCACCTATACCAAAAATTATGTCTTGAGTACAGTAGTGCTCACTGTTTTGGAGTTGTTATTTCACTGGCAGAATCCTTTGATACTAGGTTCTGGCCTTTGTAAGTCCCCTTCTACCCAGAACTGCCCAGAGAATTCATTTATAAAAAAACAAGGATGATAATTTAACAGGAGCACTGCACATTTGCCCATAGCCCTTTAATCACTTTGAGAAGCAACTAAAATATAGCAAATATTTATTAATTCTGAAAATCCTAGTCTCTTGTAGTAAAGAAACTAATGTATGTATTTACAAGGCCCAAGTGAAAGAATTGATATCAGGAAGAACAAAGTACTGAAGGAACAGAGGAAAGGAGTGATATTTGTCTGGGTGGGGCCCTAAGTAAGGCTTCAAAGAAGAGGTGACATTTAAACTGGAGTTTGAAAGAGGAGTGGGATTTTGATAGTTGGGTAAAGATGGGGATCATAGAGAGCATTCTAGACTGAAAGGAGAACAGAACAAAAGATGTAAAGGCTTGAAAGTATAAGGACTGTTTCTGCAGAGGTGAGAAATGTGGCTGGAAATAGAAAAATGAGACTCTTGTTTCTCCATGTGGAGTCGCCCCTTTTTGCCCCCTCCACTGTCATTTTCCCATTACTGTGCATCTTGTTTTATTCCACTTGGGGTGACCCCTGTTGATATACTTGGAGGAGAATAGCTTTCCTGTGCACATTGATGGGATTATGAGAACTAAAATAATTTTATTTATGTGAATGAGAACCAGAATTTCATACACATTACTAAATGACATCGTGGAATGGATGGTTGGGAAATGTTTTTCAGGTTGAAAATATCCTCTTGCATGACCGAGGCCACTACGTCTTGTGTGACTTTGGAAGCGCCACCAACAAATTCCAGAATCCACAAACTGAAGGAGTGAATGCAGTAGAGGATGAGATTAAGAAGTAAGCTTTTTCTTCTTTCTTGGAGAACCAGCAACTTGCAGCTTATGGATGAGAAGGTCAGGGTGGGAAGACAATGATGCTGGTCAGTTGCTCCTCTTCTTAGATAATCATGTTGGCAGTTGAGTTGTTTGATTTTTAGTGGAGGATGTGGAGGGGTTTACAATTATTGATCAGTAGAGTAAAATGAAGGACTCTTATAGCACTATATCAATGGGCCTATGGTCATTATACGTAGATATTTTGATTTATGTCACATAACCCTTAAAAAGCAGAATGGTGCACCATAGAAATATTGTGATGTTTTTAAGTGGGATCACAACACCCGTGACATTATTAGTCAGTTGGCTGTGCTTTTACTGAATCCTAAATTGCTTTGTATTCCTTTCTTCTCGTAAGGAGCTTACCTGCAGTATAGGAGAGGGCTGAGTAGGGCTATTGAAATCTCTACAGCTATTGAGTAACTGACTTTCAAGAGGACAAGCTTCTTTGGTTATGTGACTCCAGTAAGAACCTGACCCATTTTTCCTGTTGTCCAGAGTGTTGGATTTTCACAGGCAACCACACTCACTATTACTACTACTGATAAGTCAGCAGTCTAGCATACCACTCATATCCTTATCCTTTCTTTCCTTTCCTGCATCACTACCCTGGCAACCAAGCCTGGGGCAGGAAAACTCTTGGTCCAAGGCCCTAATGGACACCTAAACCACAGTACCCTCAGGGCTCTAGAAACTCAAGCAGCACAAGTCACATGCTTGGTAACATCGAGATACTCACTTTGAAGATTAGCTTCTGTTCCTTTTTTCTTGAGCCTGAGATAAGAGGAAAACTATTGTTTTAGCCCTAATCCAGCAGTGAAGATCCATCTACCTCCCACCCAAGCTGGGGCCCATTTTCTGCTATTCTCTAGCGTCCCAGCCAGTATTCTATCTCTGGCAAGCCACATTAAAAGGGATTACTATTTTTTAAAACATATCAGCAAAATATAGTATCAAACAACAGGGATTTATAGGAGAACATTTTGTTATTGAGGACCCAAGAAAAGTTGCTTTTAGAATTTATTTAATGCCATAGTGTCTGGGTCCCCACATGCTCTTAGATTAGGACTGCTGCTAGAGGGCCATAGGTGTGTACCATAGACAGCTTTTTATTTTATTTGCACTAATATTTCATACTCTCTTCTGCAGATTGCTCTTAGGGAACTCCAGTATACAGGGTATCCCCCCAAAAATACACACTTTTTTCTGGTAGCTCAATTGATGTTTCTTTCTTTTTAGGTTAATAGTTATTCAAAGTGTGTATACATTTTTGGGGGGACACCCTGTGTATATTTAAAGTATTTCTGCTAACAGTGGTCTTTAATTATATCATTGTTATATTTAACAGAAATTGAATCTCTTGATTGTAGATATACAACCCTGTCCTATCGAGCACCAGAAATGGTCAACCTGTACAGTGGCAAAATCATCACTACGAAGGCAGACATTTGGGTAGGTGTAAACTAATCTATCCACATCTCAAATACCAGCAGCGCTGACTATAATCTCCCAAGTTTAATCCAGACAGTGCCATAGCAAGAGTGGCCACTGTGCCATATCATTGTCTACTTTTCTTTCGGGGTTATTCTTAACTCGAGGTGATCAACCACTGCTTCTTTAAGCATGTGAAAGAAATTTACTTTAGAGCTCTGTGAGAATTATTCAAGTGACCTGCCCACTATTTAGATGGTTGTCACATATGTATTACTAGTTCTTAAGAGCAAAACAGCTGAAATAGTTGTTCTTTATTGGAGCTCAATTTGGTAATGATAGTAGAAATAATGTAACTCAGCAGCTTAAAAGTGGTCTTGGGTTCTAAATTCAAATTATTAACAGGTTAATAGTACATACTTTTGATATTTGCTGGTTAATGTGGATGGTGCCAATCTCTCTCAGTAGACCCATTTGCAGTTATGGTAAATGAACCACTAGTGGCAACCTGCTTTCTTTATTCTTTTAGGCTCTTGGATGTTTATTGTATAAATTATGCTACTTCACTTTGCCATTTGGGGAGAGTCAGGTGGCAATTTGTGATGGAAACTTCACAATTCCAGATAACTCTCGATATTCCCAAGACATGCACTGCTTAATTAGTAAGTATTTCAAGTTTCTAGTTTTCTATTTTTATCTCTTATCTTTAAGAGTGAATTGGAGGGTAAAGGGAGTGGTGGGTTGGATGCAAAGATAAAGAAGCCAGTCGATGATGGTTGGTACTCAAATGTAATATAACAGTATCTAGTGAGAGTGGTGAGTTTGAGTTTTTGTGTGTTTTTTTGCTAGAAATCTAAACTCTCTTTTACACCTGAGCCAGCCACCTGAGCAGAAATCCTAACTATGCTTTGAGCGAAATAGTACTGCTCTGCTCTCTTGCAGTCTGTATGAAAGCTCTGGTACCAGAGGAGTCCAGCTGACTCATATCAAGTGATAAGAAATTCATCTTTGCGAAACTGAAAGCGGCTCAAATTAAAATGATTGCAGTGCATTGGATAGAGTGAATACATACTTAAGACTGTATAACTCTATGGAACTAGGTTTTTCCTCTCATTTAGGTTAATCACTGGATTTTGATAACAAGTATTTAAACTCAATGCTTTGTTTAAAATGTTGTTTTTTGAATTCCCCACTTTTTTGCATCTCCATAGTAAGCATATGTATCAATGTTCATTAACCAGATGGTAGATCAAGTGATCTTTTATAAGCCCCTGTACTAATATGCTAAAGAAACAGATTATTTTGTTATCTTTTTACATCAGTGAACACATGTAGCATCTAAATTTTAATCATTATGGTTTATAAATCCTGAGCAACACAGTTTGGGTCCTGGGTGGGGATGCTCTGGAGAAAAATAGAAGGCAATGTGGGCAGAGCATCTGACATTTTTTGAAGGCCTACTTGTACATCATTTATACCTCATTTAATTCTTAAAACCTCATACAATAAATGTAATTATCCCCATTATGCAAATGAGGGAACCAGAGCTGTGAAAGTATAGGTAACTTACCCAAGTTAACATAGTTATAGTTTTTAAGTGACTGCCTGCCCCATTGTGCCAATTTTATCAATCAACCTCTTCCATTTGTTAACAAAAAAGTGAGGGAGGGTGTTCAAAGGAATGGAATGTAGCACTTAATGGTTATTGGGTTGTTTTCAAAGGTAAAGTGTTATGTCTATTCTAGAATTGCAGCTATTTAAATGGATTGGAAGGGAATGTGAAAAATGGCCCAATTTGATTGCAGAATGACTGCATTATTTTTGTAATAAATTTTTTCTTTTTAACATTTGTGCAGCAAATTCATATTAGGAAAAAAACCTCTTTATGAATGTCTATAACATGACATGTTTACTAAACTCTGATCTATTTTAGTTTACAAACTCTTTGAAGATTCTTTAGTCTCTAGTCCCCCTAAATTCACAGGTCTAAAATTAAATTTATTGCCATCTCCTCCCCCCTTTTACTCCCAATTCCCCTCTTCAATTTCTATTAATGGTGTCACCATTAAAGCCTGGATGACTGAAATTTAAGGTTTTCTTTGGATTTGCCTAGCAAGATAGGGGGAAAGAGTATTTCCTAGGTGACATTAGTTCTTCTTTGGCGTTTCCTGTTATCATTATATTCTCTCCATTCTCATCGTTGTCATGATAGTATATACAGACTCTGTTGGCTCATGCCTGTAGTAGTGGATTGCCCATAGCCTCTCCCTTCTTTCTTCAATCTATCAACACACCTTCACCACAAGATTAATCTTGTAAAATGCCACCCTATCGTGTGCCTGTTCAGTAAACTTCATGGCCACAGTAGGGTCCAGATTCTCAGTATGGCATTTAAGATTCTTTGTATTCTGGTTCCATGACACCCACCCAGCCTTATTTCCCTGTGCTCTCTGACAAGGAAATCTGTGCCTTGGCCTCTGGCTTCTCTGTTTCCTTGTAACAAGGCATTTTTTGCTTTTCTCCAAGTCCATCTTTGCTCAGAGTATTCTCTCACCTGGAATGTCTTTTTCTCTGCTTTCCCCTGACTGACTAAATTTTTTCCTGCCTTCACAGACGAGCTCAAGTCCTGCCTCTTCTGCAAGGCCTTCAGAAGACTGCAGCCTCATCATTTTTTTCTGAACTTAGTGTCTAAATCATTCACTTGATTTCTTAAGCAATATTTGCCTTGCATTGTTGTTTGTATATGTATGTGTGTATGTTTGTGTGTCTTCTTAAAGACTTTTCCCTGGGGATTTTTCCAGTTTCAGAAAGGGCAACTGGAAACAGACAAGTGATCTATAGATCATGGTAAAAGTAGAGATGTATTTGTTATTTTGTGATTTCTTTTAGACTTGAAACTAGCTTAGATCTCCAACAAAAAAATAGTAAGTAAATTCATGAACTCTAAGTTTTGGTTATAATTATCAAGAATAATCATTTGTTTAGCAAGATCATATGAACTTAGGAGGCCAGAAGCAAGACCATGTAACTTCCTATGTACCAGAACATGAATATAGTAACTTTCATATTGAGAACTTGAGCCCCTGTTGTGCAGAGCACAGAGTGTGAACTTCAGATATCTTTGTTACAATTCAAAAACTTTGTTATTTTCCTGTGGATATTAAAATTTTTAGGAAAGTGAGAGCTTCCCTTTCTGAGAGGGGAGGAAAAAGACAATTGCACTGACTTTAATGAGAAGATAAAATAAAAACAACAAATTTTGGTAATAGAGAAATTATGCTTCCTGGCTAATGCACCAACTGTTAGGATATTATTAAACGAGTTCATATATGTTTGTCTTAGGGTATATGTTGGAACCAGACCCTGACAAAAGGCCGGATATTTACCAGGTCTCTTACTTCTCATTTAAACTGCTCAAGAAAGAATGCCCAATCCCGAATGTACAGGTATGTAAAGGTGCTTTTTAGGGAAAGTAAACATTATTGAATTGTCATTTAGAATTACTGGGGTGTTAATCAGCTGCTTAATGACTGTAGATTCCCTTGCTTTATATAGTAGGGCTCATCCAAGCAAAACTAACTAGGAAGTAGTTTCTGTAAACAGAATCCAATTTTCCCATAGAATTTAATTATAAAACTGGGTAATTACACTGGGGGGAAAAAGCCCTAGGGATTGAATTGAACACCTTGGGTAAAGATTGACCAAACTATTATCTTGCTGATTTTCACCGTTCACTAAGAGCCCTGTGATTATTGTATTTACCTAGAGGTTGTTAGGCAGGTCCTGAGACCAGGCTCTGGACTTGCCGGCATACCAACTCGAATGGAAGCCCCTTGTCCCTTTTCTCCTTCATTGCAGCAGAGCTTTCTGGATTGTTGCTTCTGCTGTTGGCCATCTGTGACTCACACTCCTTTTCCTCTACCCTCTTCACACACATCAGGCCATAGGAATGTTTTCTACACTTAGTAATCCTAAACTCTGCACTCACAGTCTCAGAGTACAGTTCTTGCAAACACCCTTTTTCCAGTCTTGGCATATTTTTCGTGTCATAGTGTGATCCAGCTCTCTTGAATATTGTACTCATGGATGCCATCATTAAGTTCTAATCTGAAATTTTCTTGCCTGTTTCTCCAGTAATGAACTTCTGATGTCATTTTTGGGGCTGATAAATAACACTCCACTTTCATTCCCACATTTGGATCAGATGTGGGAATCATTCAGATGGAGCTCAGAATATTGGCCTTATTTCTCAAGTCAGAGAACGTAGCTTGACCAGTCAGGCTCCCTAACGTTAGAGCCTCATGACTGAGCAGCGATCACCTGATTCCTGAGAGCCAGGCTTTTCCCTAAAGGAAGGAGAGCAAGGGGAACCAGACAAGCTCACCTTTTTCTCCCAGTCTTAACGGTCAAATAAGTTGCATCTTCTTCCGTAGGCAAGGAACACTGGGAGGGTGAAAGAGAAGCTGGGAGACATTTTCTGTAGAAATTCCCCCTACCTGGAAAACGTGAAGGAAATGAAACATCATGTTTCCCAGAATAAACGGATACTGTACAGTAACCTAACACGGCCGTGTTTTCTGTTACTATCCCACTTTCCCAGTCATAAAGTTAAATAACATGAAATATAATTGGAAGCGTTCAGGTTGGTAACCAGTTTTTACTAAGTCAGCTTCACAAGTCTCAAGTCATTTGATGCTTGCTCAGCAGTGTAAACAGTGGTCTTGTGGTTAGGGACAGCTAGTGCTCCCTGGAGAGATGGTGTTGGACGGATGGTGCAAAATCCAAGCTAGAGGAGCTCTACTTGGCTAGTGAACTAGGTAGTGCCTCATGTGCTGGAAAGAGGTGCTGGCTCAGCAACCAGACACTGTGGCTGTGGTTTTCTTCCCGCATTCAAACTAGAAGACTGCACCCTGGTTGGGCACACTAGTCAGCTCTGACTTCTCTAATATCTAGTTGAGAGCTTAAATAGTAATATAGGTTACAGACATCTCTTTCCATTCCTTTCATAACCTCACTTCTAAGATGTACTTTAGGGACAGAAGGGTGCTGACATCAGGCCCCAGTGGCCTTAGCCATACACTGAGAATGACGGTGGAGGAGTATGCTACGTGTGCCCTGCTCTGTCCGCTTCTCAGATACTTTACCTTCCTGCCTGGGGCTGAGTCCAGTGGGATCTGCTTTTGGTTAACTTCCCTTCCCTCTACCAGAGATCAGGGTCTGGAAGTCACTCTGGAAGAACCCCAACAGATATTTTCATCAGCCCAATCATGCTGGTTATTCTTTTACAAATAAATCTGTGATGTCCTTTTTAAATATTTTCTTTGAATTCTGTAGAACTCTCCTATTCCTGCAAAGCTTCCTGAGCCAGTGAAAGCCAGTGAGGCAGCTGCAAAGAAGACCCAGCCAAAGGCCAGGTAAGAAATGCCTTAGTGAGCACCTGTTATGCTCTGTTGCCTCAGTAGCAGGGGAGGGTGCCTTGTATTTCTTGATTCTTCTGCTGTGGCCATAGGCTGCACAGCATGAAAAAGCAAGCTCTGTCTCCTCTAGGCAGAAGCTATCCTTCAGGAGCGCAAGGAGCGCAAGGAGAATATAATGAAATACAGTAATCTACATTTGAAAGTGAATAAAAAACTCCACAGCTGTTTCCCTTGCTTGGGAATAGGCACAGGGGCATTCAGAGATGAGGCAACAGCAGGCTTAAATATTGCTAGCTCGGGAGTGTCCTAAACGGGTGTCCTGGCCTTTGTTTAGCCTCCTTCAGCACCCTAATCCTCCACCTCCCTTTCCTTTTTACTCGCTGTGGCCCTGGCCACGTTAGGAAAGTAATGTGGTCAGAGCAACAAGGTAATAATTTCTTATATAGTGCTTAGCCCTTTCTCATGTCTCAGAATTAAAGCTGGCTTATTTGAATCAGGATCCAAAGTCCACATATCGTATTTAGTTTACTTTAAACATATTCATTTTATAACAATTAATATAACTTTTATCTTTTAAGTCCCCTTTTAAACATAGGTGCCCTCTTCCTCTTTTCCCCTCTTTTTGTCTTTTTTTTTTTTTTTTAAGAACCTGGGTCACTACTTCTTTATTTCATATACTTCTCTTTGCCTTTAAAGACCAAGACACACCTCTTTTTGGCATAGAGGAATTGTTTCTTCAATGCTGTCTCTTGAAATATCTGTCCTCCCCATATTTTTTTGGGTTAGATTTAACTGAGTTACAGAAAGTCCAAAATTACAGTGGCTTATGTAAGATAGATGTTTATTTTTTTCTCTTAAGTAAACAAAGTCCGGGGGTAAGTCATTCAGGGCTGGTCTTGCAGTTCTGCTTCACAAAGCCCTCAGGTCCCCAGGCTTCGTCATGCTCACCACTCCACCATCCCTCAGGCTGGGCCATGACTTCATGGACCAATATGGCAGCATCCCTGTTCCAAGCAGCAGGAGCAAGGAATGACCAAAGAAGAAGAAAGATGAAGGGCATGTACCAGTTATTTCTTAAGGTTTCTAGAAACTGCCATGTAACAGTCTGCTTACATCCCATGTAAGGCCAGAACTTAGACACATGGCCATACCTGATTACAAGAGAGGCTGCGCAATTTGATTTGTACTCTGGGTGGCTCTGTGCCCAGGTGAATATTGTATTACTGTGGGAAAAAACAAATATGTATATTGGAGGAAATGGAGTTTCTGTCACACTCCCCAAATCCTTCATCTTGAATTATTTACTTATTTCCTTTAGTCGCCTTATTGGATTAATTTATATGCATACTTTTTATGGTAGAGAGACCACTTTGACAGCTAGTTCTAATCAACTTTGAGTTTCCCTTACATCTGAAGCTACCTCCTTCAAAGCCCTCTTTACATCATCACCCAGAGTGTATTCTGGGAAATTTAGGAAGGATTAGGTAAAAGGATCCCAAGGTAAAATAAATTTGAGAAACACTGCATTCTATACAGTGTTTTCTTTGAGGTTCTCTATACATAGTCACACATGAAAGGTTCTGCTGAAATGTTAAAATTTATTTACCCATGAAACCTTTACTTATAACATATAGTAACACATAACACCTGCTGGTAAATGTTGATTAAGCAGATCTAGAAGGTTTGGATGAGTGTGGAGGGTAAAGCTAATCCATCATGTACTCTGCCCCTCCCCCATTTCCTCACACATGAATGTGAATCTTTGTTTTTTCTTTTCCTTTTCTAGATTGACAGACCCCATTCCCCCCACAGAGACTTCTATTGCACCTCGCCAGCGGCCTAAAGCTGGGCAGACTCAGCCGAACCCAGGAATCCTCCCCATCCAGCCAGCCCTGACACCTCGAAAGCGGGCCACTGTTCAGCCCCCGCCTCAGGCTGCAGGTTAGCTCCTAGGGTGGTTTGAAACTTGGTACCCCTCTTTGTTACCCTGGATAATAGGGAAGTCTTGGAAAGCCTGATTTTGCTTCAGGAGTGGAGTGCAGAGGCACATGAGGAATAATGGTCTTCCGCCCTGGCTGGGCGGCTCAGTTGGGCAGAGTGTTGTCCCATACACCAAAGGCTGCAGGTTCGACCCCTAGTTGGGGCTCGTACAGGAGGCAACAGATCAATGTTTCTCACATCGATGTTTCTGTCTCTTTCTCTCTCCCCCCTTCCTCTCTCTCTAAAAATCAATAAAAAAAATATCCTCAGGTGAGGATTAAAACAGAAAAGAATAATAATGGTTTTCCTTGAGGCACAAGAGGTGAGCTGCCACCGAAACTATACGGCAGGAGGCTGGCCAAAGGGGAGGTCTGCTATTGAATTCTGCAGGGGACCACCAGGACCCACTGAAGCCTGTTGTCTGTTTTTTCTAGTCTTGGCCCTGATTTTGTGGCTTGGTCCATTCATCCCATACCTGCCTCTTTATTTCATATACTTCTCTTTGCCTTTAAAGACCAGGACACACCTCTTTTTGCCTAGAGGAACTGTTTCTTCAGTGCTGCCTCTTGAAGTGTCTGTCGCTGCTCTGTGTTTTGCTATTCTCTTTCTATTGAGGTGACTGAGTTTAGTTTCATAAAGAGGATTGATCCAAATTATCAAATAACTGAACTTAGCCATCACTTCCCTTACCAGGAAGCTGTTTTTGGTGACCATCTGCTTACAAGGCATCCACACTGAAATTGTGTAACCTACATATAAAACATCAAAGAATGCTTTTATTCTGCAGCATGCCAACAAGTGCAAAAGATTGTGTTTATATACAGTAGCATCAAAGGCTAATTGAATTTGTAGATACTTGGGATGCTGACTGAAGGAGTAATTGACTAAATGGGATGGTGAATAAAGGAAGGCTTTCTGAAGGAGGCAAGTATAGAACCTTGTTATTGAACCTTGTTTTGAAAAATATGAAGCACACAGTTTAGCAAGAACTAAGGAACTTCGAAGTGCAGAGACAGTGAGGAGCATGTGGATTTTGGGATTATCTGTACTTATCACCTCCTCTTTCTTTCTTTGGCAAGAAGGGAAGTCGTTTTTGTCTGGAACAGTTTTGAGCCCTTACATGGAGTTTCTTCTCATTGCAGGATCCAGCAATCAGCCTGGTCTTTTAGCCAGTGTCTCCCAACCAAAAACCCAGCCCCCTCCCAGCCAACCTCTACCACAATCCCAGCCTAAGCAGCCACAGGCTCCGCCCACCCCACAGCAGCCACCTTCCACTCCCGCCCAGGGTCTGCCCACCCAGGCCCAGGCCACACCCCAGCACCAGCAGCAACTGTTCCTCAAGCAGCAGCAGCAGCAGCAACAACAGCAACAGCAACAGCAACAACAACAGCCCCCACCACCATCACAGCAGCCAGCAGGCACATTTTACCAGCAGCAGCAGCAGCCGCAGACCCAGGCTCAACAGGTAAGGTGGTTAGAGTCTGACTTTTGCTTTGCATATCCAAGTCATCACTGTGAAAAGGCCCACCAGGTACAGAAATCTGCCTTGGGAAGCCAGAGCCATTAATGATCACATCACTGCTTCTCCCAGATGGAGATACTACAAAGTGTTGTGTAGTGGAGCAATCACAGGATCACTCTCCCCTTTCACCCTTCTTCTTAGGCCCTGGGAATTCTTCACCTGACTGAGGAACCTCAGGAAGGGAGCTGATTTTTAAGGACTTTTTTTCCTCACGTAACTACAACACCATTATCATACTGAAACAAGATAATTTCTTATCCAATATCCAATAGTGCTTAGCCCTTTCGCATGTCTCAGAATTAAAATTGGCTTATTTGAATCAGTACCCAAAGTCCACATATTGTATTTAGTTGCGATATATTTTTTCTTTCATTATCTTCTCTTATTGTTTTCACTTTTTTTTTTACTTTGAACGTATTCATTTTATAACAATTAATATAACTTTTATCTTTTAAGTTCCTTTTTAAACATAGGTGCCCTCTTCCTCTTTTTCCCTCCTTTTGTCTTTTTTTTTTTTTAAGAAACTGGGTCACTTGTCCTGTAGAATTTTCCACATTCTGGATTTGGCTGATGGCATCCCTGTGGTGATGTTTAATATGTTTCTCCATCCCCTGTGTAAACTGGTAATTTCCTGAGGTTTGCTTAATATTCCATTCAGTTTGATTGTTCTTTGTTTTTCTGTTATATGACATCAGGGGCATATAATGTCTGGTTGTTCTCTCTCTTAATAATATTAAGATCAATCAGTGGGTTTGGTGTTGTCCATCTGATCCATTTATTTGATGTTCCCTATCAGCAGTCATTGCTGATTATTTCCTAAGTCCATTAATTCATTAGGGATGGCAAAATGGTGATATTCTGGCATTTCCTCTTCATTTAAGGGCTGGAATTTATCTATGAATAATTTTCTTCATCAACTATTTGATTACCCTGAGGTATTGTTTGTGCAGAAAAGGCAGGAAAAATGCATGGTTCTTTTCCTGTTTTTACCAGTTTCAGAATGAGTTTGTTCTTAGTATCATCCAAAGGTGAACAATGAAGTTTTTGTTTAGTATCATCATGAACTCATGGAACTTAACACATTTGACATGTTTCCATACATTGTAGTTTGTAAAATTTTGTTTATTTTGATGCTCAAATTGTCCCAACTTTGTCCAGTGGAAGTCTCCTCGGATTGTCTCCTGGTCCTTCAGCTCCAACTCCATTGGTCTTTATGGTTCCCTTGCTCTTCAGTGTAACAAGCTGTTACAGGTTCATTCTGTCCTTAACCTGAAATCAGCCATTTCATTTCCTTTTCATGGAAATGGTCTTTAGAGACCACAGTCTTGATGCTAGTGATACTCACTTGCTAATGGGTTGGTTATTGTTTTTAGACCATTTCAGTGGACAGTAGTTAGGAAATATATTTTATTTTCTTAATAGAATATATACCATGAATTCAAATTTATATTCCTAATTCAGATGTGTAATCATAGGATTTTTGTTTTATCTTCTTGGATTTTATATTTGTATTTTTCTAATCTGGAAATCTTCATTCCTAATAACATTAACATAATTACTTAATTGATTTATAGTTTCAAGCTAACAATACCAATAGGATTACTGAAAATAGTTTTAAGATTTCTTTGCCTTCTTTACCCTTAGAATGTTTGGCACATTATTTTCTGGGGAGTTTGGCTCTTACTTTGATACGAGTTTCTTTGCTTCATTTTGCTTCTGATGATTAGTTATTGATTTTTAAATTTTGTTTTGTGGAAACGTAAAATATTTACATAGTTTCAAAGTTAAATCTGCAAAATTCTGTCCCCTCCATCCTATATATAGAGGTAGCCTCATTCCTGTTTACAACTAGTGTTCCCTTTTAAGGATATATAGGATAGTTTATTCAGTCAGTCCCCTGTTGATAGACATTTCGTTGTTTCCAGCATTTTACTATTATAAATAGGCAGCTGTTTACTGACATCTGCTTCTTTGCTAACCCTTTAACTTTGCCTCATTAGGCAAACACTATCCTCTCAGTTAGCTCTATAGTGAAGTAACACTATTTAGGATGTTAAAAGACAAGATCTTGAGTTTTGTTCATCAGTAGACCTCTGTTTGAGCTCTATTTGTGTGCCTAGCACATAGTCCTTAGTGGGGAGTAGAAAGACATAAAAGAAGTTTCCCTATTTTTAGCAAGTTTACAAGAGAATGTAATGACGCAGTTCATTACCAATATAAAGTAAAATGTCATTAAGTGTAGTAATCTGAATATTTTGAATGTTTAAAGATAGAGAATTAATAAGGATAGAGCTATTGGGAAATAATTTTCAGAAAGAGAATTAATAGCTGGGTTAACGTATTTTCAAGGTTTTCATTGCTTCATCCTGTTCACCCAGGGAAGAATTTTAATCATAGCTACTTCCAAATCCCTTTATAAGAGGGACATTACTTCTGTGATAGGGACATTATTTATCAGCTTCTGTTACACTCCAGCGTGTGGAGTCACAGATGTGTAGTGAGATGGACACCCTCAGGTGAGGCATAGAAACCCACCTGGGAGCCAGTCTGCAGTGAAGGAGGCCGCATAGTGCAGTGGATGGTACCTGGGAGTGCAAGGTGCTGCAGTGTTTGTCTTAATGCCCTCGGATTCCCTCATGAGTTTTAGGGCCAAGTTACAAGACTTCTGCCTTCCTTTGCCTTTGGCTTCAGCACTGGTCTTAGTTGTTACTGAGACATTCGGAATATCATTCTAAGACAGGCTTCTATTCACCTTCTCCTTTCTTGCCCCTTTCTCCTGCTCAGTTTCAGGCAGTACACCCAGCAACCCAGCAACCAGCAGTCGCCCAGTTCCCTGTGGTGTCCCAAGGAAGTTCTCAACAGCAGCTGATACAGAACTTCTACCAGCAGCAGCAGCAGCAGCAGCAGCAGCTGGCCACAACCCTGCATCAACAACAGCTGCTGACTCAGCAGGCCGCCTTGCAGCAGAAGCCCACTGTGGCAGCAGGGCAGCAGGCCCAGGCACAGCCGGCCGCAGCCCCGCAGCCGGCCCCTGCCCAGGAGCCGGCGGTAAGAGTCAGCCAAGGCTCAGAGCACAAAAGAAGAGGAGCTCGCAGTGAGGGCTTGGGATGGAGGCTGTAGCAGCTGGTGTGGTGGCCTCAGGACTAGGGCTAGGCTGATTCCCTACCCTCGAGGTTAAAAAGTTTGATTTTTCTTGATATATTCAAGAATGGGATGAGGTATTTGGTAGGTTTTTGTTTTATTTTCTTAATTTATCTTTATTGTTGAAAGTATAATAGATGTCCCTATTTTCCCCTCATTGTCCCCCTCCGCCACACTACCACCCCCTCCCTAGGCCCCACTATTGTCTGTGTGCATGAGTTATGCATATATGCATATAAGTTTTTTAGAGGTTGTAAAGTTATTCTAGGCTACTGATGAAGGTGAACATTTTATTTTACTTTGAAATTAGGCTGGCAGAAAGAGCTGCTCATTGCCTCTGGTGTTGAGCAGTCAAGGGTCTAGGTAGGATTAGAAGTAGTCCCTTTCCCTTCTTCAGGGGGCAGTTTGACCATTGTGGCCTTTTCTGTCTTTGGAAGTTCATGTGAGCCCCAACATTTACCCTGAGGCCTGACGGCGTTGTGTTTATTCTTTGTGTTGGACGACATTACTGGTCACCTCAATTAAGTGTACCGTACAGCACCCTTCAAGGGGGGCTGCTTGCCTGGGACCGTTTGCCATGGTCTGATCCCTCTGGACACCAGAGTATCTCAGTGTTGTTCTAGCCACCTTGTCAGTTTAGAACTTGGGCATGTCCACTTTTAGCTAATGGCTGAGTACAGCGTCAGACTCCCTGTGTGTTCTCCTAATTGGCCCCGCTGTTTCGGCACTCTCTGTCATGCTGTGCGCTGGTCTTTAATAAGTGCCCTTAATTCTGTACTCAGAGTTTTCCGAGTGAGAGTGATAGATAATTTTATAGTGATAGAAAAAGGCATTTTACGTATCCAGCCTATAGAGTATCACAGCTACTCTCTTATTCCCAGGGAAGTCCAACTACTAGACAAACAAAGGAAAAGTAGGAAACCATCTTTATGAGGATTGATTTCTAATAGAGTTTTGTCACCCATCTTAAGCCAGAAAACATACATTCCTTGCACAGGAAGTGCTATAAATAGATTGTCTTCTGTAAGTTTCAGTTAAGTGTGTGTTCAAAGTTTCAGTTAAGTGTGTGTTCAGTGTCTTTATATCTTGGTTTCTGAAACAACTCTGTCTTCCTGCAGGCATAAGGTAGATAGCTAGTTCTCAGTATTTTTGACAAGAGATGAAGTTCCTCCTATTAAGTGAAAAGGGACTTTTAAAAAATTATTGTATGATGTAGTTAGTTGAGATCTTAATTATCTAGTCCAGTTCCCTCATTTAATGGACTTGGAAACTGAGGCCCAGCCTAGAAAATCATTACCCAAGACACACAGCTGCAGAGCTGGGACCAGAACAGAGTCCTGATCTGTGTTCAGGGTGATAATAATAACAGATGCTCATCCAGGGGGATGAGATGATCAACTGCCTCTGAGGACACTTCTTATGAGGTTTTCTCTGCTTTCCCTGGACCAAACTATCTCTCTCTTGGGAATGAATTATGAACCTTCTTCATGTTCCTTGGATGAAAAAATGCTTTGCTCAGTGGTAGTTAGTTAAGGGGATGGAGAGGGCACAGGAGCAGAACATGCTTGTGCCAGGAGCCACAGAGCTTCCCAGCTTTGACCATCTCTTTCTCCAATGACCCTTGGCAGGACTTACGTAGAGAAGCAAGTGAGTGAATGTAAAGTATACACTACAGCCATCTTAAAGCAGTAATCTGCAAAGGAAAATGGCCCTGTGCCATAGATGTCTATGGCCGTCTTATTAATAATAGCCAAAAGAATGGAAGCAGCCTAACTCGTTCAAGAACCCAACTGCAGCCGTTAAAAATCATGGTTATAAAGTTGTACAACAGTATGAAAACGCTCATGAGATAATGTTAAAGAGATGTGAAATTATGGGAACAGTATGTACTTGAAAAGAGACTTAAATATAAGATACCAAAAAGGTAAGAACAGCAGTATTAGAGTGATGGAATGGCAGTATGGGTGGTTTCCCCCCTTCTTATCTATATTCTTACATTTCTTGATGTGATTGTACTACTTTTAATTATGTGTTTTGTTTTTTAAAACAAATCTTTAGTAAAATGGATATCTGAATCTGCTTTGCTTCTCCTTCCCCTGTGGTCTGTGTCTCTCTCCTCCCCCTTCCTACTTCTATCTTTGGATGAGGAGGCATCATAATGCAGAAAAAAGAGTTCTGAATTGCAATAAAAAAACATGGATTCTGCCCTGCGGGGCGTGGCTCAGCAGTTGAGCATTGACCTAGGATCCAGGAGGTTGCGGTTCGATTCCTGGTCAGGGCACATGCCTGGGTTGCGGGCTCGATCCCCAGTCAGAGGCTTGCAGGAGGCAGCTGATCGATGATGACTCTCTCATCATTGATGTTTCTATCTCTCTGTCCCTCTCCCTTCTTCTCTCTGAAATCAATAAAGATATATTTTTAAAAAACCTAAAAAACAAAAAACATGGATTCTCTCCTCAATTGACCCTGTGACCATGGGTGAGCACTTAGCCTCAGGGGGCCTTGGTCTCATCTCTAAAGTGAGGGAGTTGGAATCTGTGTTCCCTTAGGTCCCTTTCAAGTCTCACATTTTTAGATTTGAAATGGAAATAAAACTGTCTGCCTGACAGGGTCATAGTGAGGAATAGTGAACAGATTGGAGCTGGTTTGTATTAGTAGATTACTATGTTAGGGTAAGGTGTCCTCACGGTGGAAGCATCTGTTCTTCATTGTGCTGAATATAGGTACCTCTTGTGTGTAAGAGGAGGGGAAATGTTCTCCAGGTAGTCTAGACTCTTCAAATTAAAAGGACTCAACAGTTAAGTACCCTTTTCAGAGTAATGAATGGCAAACTCCAAGAAATAAGCAAATCTAGTTCTGTCCTTAAAGCTTTCCTGGTGCCTTTGGATACTGGCTTTCAGCTGGCTCGTGTAGCCCTGGACCCCTGAAGAAGGTTGTGAAGCTGGAGCTCTGGTCTTCTTCACAGAGCACTCTGCTCCTCCCTCAGAGGTGCAGTCAGCCTCTTGACCCTCTAAGCATAGTTTGATTGATACTACAGCCTTATATTGTATCATTCAGCTTATTGGTGAAGTGACTGTGTACTCACACATGCATATAGCCTGTCTCAGCAAAATTCAAAGTCTGAGTCAATGTAAGGACAGAAAATTCCAGATTGTCAGCATCCTGACCCAAGTAGCTGTACACTCTAGTTTCCCTAACCTTTCTCAGGACCTACCCTTGAAGATACAGAATTTGGGGACTGAGCTGCAGGATGGAGAAGCAGCTTTAAGCAGAGATGAGAAACTGGAGGGAAGGGATAAATATCTGAGGCATTTAATGTTTAAGTAATTTTATCTCTGGATTGGTAGAATTAAGGAAACGTGTTAGATGGCCTTCTTAACATTTTTCGTTCATTTTCTTGACATAGCACTTTGCAGATTATGACTTATGCTTAAAGATTAACCATGTGACCACAAGGATGTTCCCACCTGTTTGTTTTTTTGTGGTGACAGTTTGTCCTCCGTCCTGAAAATGGCTCACATCTCAAGGGTTCTGTGTTATTAACTCAATTATCATCAAGGGCATTTTTTTTACATTTATTTTATTTAAAACTTTTTTTAATTTTTCAGTTACAGTTGACATTCAATAATCATCAAGGGCTTTAATTTTTTTTCTTTATTATATTCTCTATCTAGTTCTTTAATGCCATTTCCAAACTGACAGTTAAAACAAGTTAATCCCACTGCCCCAGTACTGTACATTTTCTCAGGCTGCCACAGACAGAATCTTGTAGACCCATCCTTTCAGTGAAATAGTGTTAACAACGAAACAAAAAAATCTCTCCCATTTATTAATCACAATGGAATTCTACCTAACTTATTCCTAATAGTCTGAGCTATGTCAGAGAGTCAGTTTTCTCTTAGCGGAAATCATTCCGCTCTAATTTTAGCTGAAGGTTTGGCTTCTGATGGTGGTTGTAGAGTTCTCAAGCCTGCCATTTGGAGATGTGATCCCAGAGGCAGAAAGTGGTCCTTTAGGATATGTTCTAGATCTTTAGAGCTAGAAATAGCTTCTGTAGTCTTATGCTCTGGGCTAACTTGCATGTAGTTACCCTGTATATTGTTGCTGATGAACATTGAAATTTCTGTATAAGTACCAGATAAATTTGTGTTGGTATCAGCCCCAAAGTTGCAGTTCAGGTTGTGAAAGCCTAGTTTTTCTTTCTTTCTGAGTGTTATTGATAAACTCGGCCATTTAAGTTCTATGTTAGCCCTCTTTTGGCATTTTTGGTTATGCTTATCTGTTTGTTTTTCCTTTTTCCTTTGTCGTGGGACATTTTTTATCTCTCTTCCTAGCAGATTCAAGCCCCAGTAAGACAACAGCCAACAGTTCAGACAACCCCTCCTCCTGCTGTCCAGGGACAGAAACTCGGATCTCTCACTCCTCCATCATCCCCCAAGACCCAACGTGCTGGACACAGGCGGATTCTCAGTGACGTCACCCACAGCGCAGTCTTTGGGGTCCCTGCCAGCAAATCAACCCAGCTGCTCCAGGCAGCCGCAGCCGAGGCCAGTCTCAATAAGTCCAAGTATGTGATGCTTCTCCTTTATTCTTCTTACTTTGTGGGCAAGGTATGCCGAGGGCTGTTACTGTGTGATTCTTTGCATATGTATGTAGATGTGTGTAGATGTATATGTAGGGGTGTGCATCTGTGTTTAATAAGAAACTGAATTTGCCTGTAGTACATAAACCATACTGATCTTAAGAAATAATTTCCTGCTTGCCTCACTGTTTCCATTCTCTCATCTATTCCATGCTTTACAGAGTATTTTCTAAACTCTTGATCTGACCATATTTTCATGCTGAAAATCTTTCATTGGTTTCCCATTGCCTGTGAGATAATATCTGAACTCATTGGTTAACAGACCAAGGCCTATTGTATCACATTGGTGGACTTGTCATTCTCTGTCTTCATAAGTGCTTTGTTCATCCTGTGCCCTCTCCCTTAACTATACTGTCCTCCTTGTCCACCAAGGAAATGCTTATTTATTCATCAAGATCCATGTCAGAGGTTACCTTTCCTTTGACCCTTCCTCTGGTGTCATTTATAATTTGTTGTGCATGTATCACATTGTATTATCTTCATTTGTGTGTATGTCTATATGAGTATGTCTAGCTGACCTAGCCTGAGAGTTCCTCCAAAACAAGGATTATGTCTTAATCAACCTTTGTAAATCCAGTGACTGCCTTTGGGCCTGAACTAGATTGCAATGAGTGTGGAGTAAATGCAATTTCAGGTCCTCAGCTTTCTTGGAACCATGCACTCTAAAGTTAAAAAGCTTTAAATCATTAGCTAAATGTAAAGGGCATCAAGAGAAACTTAGAATAAAATTAAGCAATGATAACTAGAAGCACAAGATAGTGCGAACTGTCTTTATTTCTCTTTAACTGTGGTGGTGACCACATTTCCATGCATCCTAGATCCAACAGATGGGAGGCAGCTTGAACAGGCATCAGTCCCTGCTCTCCGGGGTCCATTATTGTGGTTTACTGTGGGCACCATAAGATGCACAAGCCTAAGAATAGGTTGTTTTGGGATTTTGAATTGAAAGGGCTTGCAGACAATACCAAAAATCTAAGCAAGAAATTAAAGTAGTGGGAGATAGTGAATCATGAAGGAAATGGAGGCATTTATTTTACACAGCAGAAAAGGGGTCTGTGGAAACTGTCCAGTTGCCGTGGAAAGCCCTTTTAGAAAACCACTGTGGGAAATAATGGTTTGACTCTGAATGGAATTTGATCTTGAAACAAAGAGAAAATAAGTTGACCCTTTTCAACTTTTATATATCTTTTTATTTCGTGGGGGATGGAACCTACCTAGGTCTGCAACTACCACTCCATCAGGCTCTCCTCGAACCTCCCAGCAAAACGTTTATAATCCTTCAGAAGGTTCTACATGGAATCCCTTCGATGATGACAATTTCTCCAAACTCACAGCTGAAGAACTGCTAAACAAGGACTTTGCCAAACTGGGGGAAGGTGAGTAATTGGTGTCTTTGTGATTCTTGGCTCTAGAGGCGTATGCATGTAAAATTATAGGCTTGGGTCCCTCAAAGGTTTTATTTATTTATTTATTTATTTATTTATTTATTTATTTATTTATGTATTTATTGTATTCAAATATAGGTGGTATACTATAATCTTGTATTGGTTATATTAGTTTCAGGCATACAGTATAGTGATTTGTCATTTTTATACCTTGCAATGTGATTTTGAAGTTTGAATGCACATCAATTTGTATTTTTATCAGAGCACTGAAGTCTTCATCCTCAAGAAATCCTGGTCTGTTGTAGGTGGCAGCAAGGAGAAGGGTAAACTTTTAGGAAAGATTGGGTACCATAGATAGGGATGAGAGTGTCACACATGGTCACTTCTTGTAGGAATGCTATGGTTCCCTAGTCCTAAGTGGGTTTATTGTCTCAGGAAGTTATAACTGCCTACCCATGAGAGTGTGCCCTCATAGAGAAACTGAATCTTTGACTATAATTAGAGTCCTGTATTACTGTTGAGATCAAATAAATAGAAGATGCCATTTCTACTTGCAAACCCACAGTCTAATTTGTAAGGCAGGAAACACACAGACTCACACTTTGGAAAACAGCAACACAAACTCTAGGAAAATTCTACAATATGATACAGTCCAAATAAGAGTATCTCAGTGTAGACAAGAACACAGGGTAAAGGCATGATCAGAACCAAGAGTATTTTGACCAAACATTATAGCTTTACCTAGTATTTTGTAAATATCTTTTAAAAATTTGTATTGCTTTTTTGCCTTTTCAAACATAAGAGAGGGCATAGGGTTTAACTTTTTTGATGACTCATTTTCAAATTATTTCATTGTTACGTGTGCCAATCCTGGCCAGGTGGCTCAGTTGGAGCATTGTTCCATACACCAAAAGGTTTTGGGTTTGATTCCTGGTCAGGGCACGTACCAGAGGTGACCAATTGATGTTCCTCTCTTCCCCTCCCT